AGACAAGATGGCCTAGCTTGTTAGAAATATTACAAGCATTTAAGTATAGCAAAATTCACCTGCAGTTGAAGTACTTAATATTTGAAACTAAATGTTGTCATTTTCCAAGGAGAAAGAAAATGCTTATGATACTAACATTGGTCAAGAATGGAAGAAAACTTTTAGCTAATGACAGAAAGTCAACCTACTAGATAGGGTTGCCCTTGCACCTTTAATGACATTTTTCCAGACATCAAAACAAAAAGTATTTATGGTGCTTTGCAAATCTAGCCTTAGAATCTAAAAAATCTGGTGGGATTCTCAACGCTTTTATTTTGATGTTAATATTTATGCTGGGTCCTAGTTATTGAGATCTGAGGACTTCCACCATCATCCTCATCTGACAGCTCATTGGTCTGCTGAGGAAACTGCACAAATAAGAACCTCTCTACCTAATACCTCACCTCACTCTGACATTAAAGAGATATGAATCCTTAAAACCAAGCCTTTCCCCAGTTGACCAAAAGGAGAACTTAGATTGAAATTATGGTTCAGATAGTATATACATTGTGAGCTGTTACCTTGTGTGTGATTATAATGTGCCTGAGATGGGTGGGGAAGATTGAGGTAAGGTAACCAGTGATGATTGCTTCTGTTGGCATTCCAGGTATGCTTGTCATGTAAAAGCACTGTGCCAGTCAGCTAGGCCAGATTCCTAAAGTATAACTTTTCCACTGCACCACTTTGCAATTAAGAAACATTTTGTACCACATAAATGTATTCTATTAAATATTTGCCTGCTAGCTTAAGGATCTGGTCAAGGTTAAAGGCACTGAAAATACTCTTTAAACATGTGAAGTTTTCTCTTGTATGCTTAATGCCATCTATGGATGCAGTTTTTCCAGTTCAACCAAAGTGTAAACTTTGACTTGTCTGCCCTCTAGTGGATATCTGTGATTAACCAGTGTCTACTGGCTTTAGAAAAAAGTAACCAATTTTTCTTGATTGGCTTTCCTTTAAGCCACTGTTTCCTTAAAGAGTGTGTTATTGCTACCAAAGCAACAATTTATAGTTTTATTCCCTTTTCTAAGATGCCAATAAATACCTTTTTTTGCTTCCCCATTGGATCAGGCGTAGAAGCCTGTCAGCAACAACTTATCTTTGTATCAAACATATTCCTGTTGTTCTTTCCTCTTGCTTATATCTCAAATGCTTGTCAGTGTCTGTGCCTCTTCAGATCTTTTTCTTCCTTCAAGATCAGACTCCAAGCTGATTTGTTCCTGTGAACACTGTAAAGGTTTTCCCTGAGGTGAGTGGGATCTCAACATCACATTGGGTTCCCCAGCCCAGAGCATCAGAGCCACATCATTGAGTGAACTCAGGGTATCAGATACTGAGTTGTGTGGCTCTGTGTCAGATACTGAGTACTCCCTCCTCCTCATGTATTTGACTGACAGCTGCCCACTTATGGGAGATCCAGTGTCGCCATCCTCCCAGTTCCCAGTGGCCCTGACCTGCTGAGCTCATGCCCTGCAGAGGAGTCCGCTGACTATGGCCAGGTTGGGCCCACAGTGCCACTCTTTTAGTAGGCTCTCAAAGAGGGAGAGACTGAATTGTTGGCTCTAGGGCAGGGGTCATTTTTCCTTTGCAAGCCTAACCAGCAACATCCATTCACATGTGATGTTGAGATCCCACTCACTTCAGGGGGAACCTTTCCAGCTGAGATATCCCCCTGGATTCTCAACTGCTACACATGGGTATAGGGCCTGCCCTTTTCACATCTCCACCCTTCCTATCAGTCAAGAGCAGCTTGGCCCTTCCCTCATACACCGAATGCCCAGCAGAGGCAGCCACAAACTGGATTACTTTGTAGCTCCAAACAGGTAGCCCAGGACTGGTCACAGATGTGCTTTACATTGATCTGCATTGGAATCACTCCAAGAGGCCCCCAAATCAACACACCCAATGGCAGGATTCAGACCACATCAGAGCATGTCCCAATTAGATCAAAAGTGGCACACCCAAAGGGAGATTTCTGCAGGCACCAGACCCTGCTGGGGCAAATTCTTCTGCATGGGTTTGATCCTCATGGTTAGTCAGACCAAGTCAATCTTACCCACAGATGTGCCAACAGCAATCAAGATTCAACTACAACAGGAAGGTTCACATAACCCACTCAAGGGACATTCCTGGAGCACCTATCTCAGATGATCAGGGAGACTGTGCCATTAAGCCCCACAAGATATTTATACAAGGCCATGATACCGAGACCAGGAGGCATCATAGATCTACCTAATACATAGAAACAATTACAGAGAGGCAGACAAAATGGAGAGACAAAGAAACATTCCCCAAATGAAGGAACAGGAGAAATTCATAGAAAAAGACCTAATTGAAATGAAGGCAAGCAATCTCCCAAATATAGAGTTTAAAACAATGGTTAAAAGGATGTTCAAAGAACCTGTAAAGTTTTTGTTGAGAAATCAGCTGATAGTCATATGGGTGCTCCTTGTAGGTAACTAACTGCCTTTCTCCTGCTGCTTTTAAGATTCTCTCTTTGTCTTAACCCTTGCCATTTTAATTATGCTGTGTCTTGGTGTGGGCCTCTTTGGGATACTCTTGTTTGGTATTCTCTGCGCTTCCTGGACTTGTAAGTCTATTTCTTTCACCAGGTGACCTTGAGCAAGTCCTATAGGGTTTTGGTATATATTAAATAAAATAATATAAAGTTACTTAAAGCCCATAGTGATGCTCAATAAATGTTATTCATCTTTGTACATGCAACTGGTTTTGGCCCCTTGTGCCCTCTAAGGAAGTATCAAGGGTGTTTTTGCTTTTTACTTGTCTACATGCTCTCATCACAATTCTCATTGGTAGAAAAATTCACCAAAGAGCTGAAAATAATTTGAATTATCCCCCTTTTAATCTGCTCATTTTTAAAGTATCCCCTTTTTGATCTGCTCACTTATATATGAGGGAAGGGTATGAAGCTAACAATGGCCCATAAACATGTAAGAGGGTGTTCAACCTTATTAGTAATGAGGGCAAGGCAAATTAAAACAATAATGAGATAAACACTATACAGGCAAAAATGAAAACATCTGATGATTCCAAGTGTTGACTAGGGTTTACATTAATTAACTCTCGCTTCTTCTTGGGGGGAATATAAATTAGCACAGCCACTTTAGAAAATAATTTGGCACTATCTTATAAATTTGAACCTTTACTGACTCTACAATTTTCTAATTCCACTCTTAGGTATATATCCTGTTGGCATTCTTGTGCATGCAGACCAAAGGACATGTATAAGAATGTGTATATCAGGCCTGGCCAGTGTGGCTCAGTGGATAGAGTATTAGTCTGTGTATCAGAGGGTCATGGCTTCAATTTCTGGTCAAGGGCAGTTACCTCAGTTGGACATTCATTCCTGGCCCTGGTCGGAGTATATGTGGGAAGCAACCAATCCTCCCTCTCTCTCTCTCTTTCTCTCTCTTCCTACCTCCCTCCCTTCCATTCTCTCTTAAAATAAATAAAATCAGGAGGATTCCCAGATGGTGGCCAAGCAGGACGACATTGAGAGAGAGAGTGAGTGAGGGAGTGAAAGAGAGTGTGTGGATGTGTGGTGGATGTGTTTGTGTGAGTGAGGGGGGGACAGCTAGATCTCACCAGTGGGGCTGGTGGACCTGGCTCACATAGCCTCTGCTACTTGCCACACTAACTGTTGGGTCTGAGCCCCTTTGCCAGGCACTGGACCTTCTTGGGACATTGGATGGTAGATGGAGTTCTTCACTGCAAAATCCCATATAGGTAGTCACACACTGGCTGATGAGTGAATACATCTTTCCTACAAAGAGGCAGCTATACCCACAGCTATTATCTGAGCAGCTGCATGCTACCTCTGGACCTTCTGCCTTACATAGCAGTGGCACCTACGCTCTCCCTTAGAGCTATAGCCTCAGTAGCCTCTCCAGCCTCTCTCACCTCTCCCAGCCTTTTCCCCGTTCATATCGCAGCAGCACCAGCCTTATAGCATAGCTGCATCCTCTGTGCCTGCCTTTTCTCCCCAGCACACTGGCTGGTCAGTAACCTACTTTAACACTATTTAGACAAAAAGAGGTGTCTTGCCAATAGTTACATCAATCATTTTGGCTACAGAAAGGTACATGTGAGCATTGTACCGTGCAATTCCTGTCCTTGTACCTGTGTATGGCATCTTAGCCTTGAACATTCTAACTAAGATTCCCATGTTAGAGTAGTCTTGGCCATACTAACAAGGCCTTCACTCTCTAATTGGTCTTGAGTATCTGACGACTCTGGCATGGTTCCCACACATAGGTTATAACACACTCTATTTTATGTGCCACTAAGAAAAAATAAATATTGCAGGCAAACTATGATTCAGTAATTTTTTTATCACATTGATTTATCCTAAATTATATATGTTAGAATCAGTGAAAATATGGACCATCAACCTTTTGAGTTTATAAGAAATAAGTAGGACAAAGTGTTGAGAAAGATGCCTAATGGTTATAAATACTTAGTAAGTAATAGCCATTATGTTGATGGTCATGGTGATTTGATAATGAGCACTTTGTGAAGTGTGCTCATTGTTTAGGTTGTTCTTTGGGGATCAGAATCATTAATAGGTCATTGTGAATTTGAAGTAGCATAAAAACATATGTAACAATAATATAACATCTTGAGTTGGTTTTTAGAGGTAATTCTTCAATGATTAGTACTTTGTTTTCAATGAAATTTGTAGACTATTTTTGAAGTTGCCTTCAGGAATAACTTCTATTAATATAGATCAACCTCCTGGGTTAAAGTCGTTTTTTATAGAGAATTTATTTCAAGTACACAGCATGAAAAAGATGTTCCTACATGTAAAGCTTAGTTAATACACAGCATGAAAAAGATGTTCCTACATATAAAGCTTAGTAAAATTTCACTGTTGATATTGTGATATGAGACCTCAGGTTGTAAATTGTTGTTGTTTTTTTTTCATTTTCCTGTCTATACAGGAGGCAGACAGTGGAGAGGAGGAATGCCGATCACAGCCCAGGAGGTATGTTTATTCTCTAAATCCTATAGCTTTTCTTTTTGTTGTTGTTTTTCTATTGCAGTTTACATTTAATATTATCCTGTATTAGTTTTAGATGTATAGCATAGTAGTTAGACAATCATGTTCTTTGCAGAGTGGTTCCCCCATATTTCAAGTACCCACCTGGCCCCATACATAGTCATTATTATACTGACTACCTTCCCTATCCTATAATTTACACCTCTGTGACTGTTCTGAACCATAATTACCAATTTGTACTTCTTCATCTCTTCACCTTTTCACCCAGCCCCTCAACCCATCTCCCCTCTGTCAACTGTCAGTCTGTTCTCTGTATCTGTGAGTCTATTTCTATTTCATTTATTTTGTCCTTTAGATTTCACATATACGTGAAATCATATGGTATTTGTCTTTGCCTGATTTATTTCACATCTATGGCCATATCCTATAGCATTTCTGTAATTAATGTTCTTTCTCTAATTTTTCTTCCGTCTTTTCATATTAGCTTATCCTACTTTTCCAAAATGCTTAATTGGTCTCTCAAAATAAGATTGCTTTAAGAATTCAGTTACTGCCTCAGAATTAAAATGGTAGATTGCATTAGGTTGTACACTTGAGACTAATATAATTTTATATGTTAATTATGCCTCAGTAAAAAAAAAAATGTTAGATTGCTTTTTTAAAAATGCAGAAAGGCCATTGTTGGTCTAGTTTTGGTCCAAGTATTCAGAACTATCTTGAGTAATAAAAAAGCTAACTTTCCTTATCTTTTAAGAAAATATCAACTGAAGAACATTTCAGCCTTCAACTTTAAACTTATGTTTGTCATTCATTTTGATACTTTTCATTTCCTACAGACTGCTTAATATTTCCCTTTCTAAATACAAAGGTTATACTGAGTAACATCCCCAGTACTTTCAAATATAATGAAACTCGCTCACTCTGAATAGTGGGCATATTATAATGGTACCAGTAAAAGAAAAAATTATGCTGCCATTAAAAGAAAAACATTATGAGATATCCAAGAAGTATGAGACATCCAATATTTATATTACCTCGTTTAAGTAAGGAGGTAATATAAATATAACATTTACATGTTATATTTATATTACCTCCTTTCTCCCTCCCACAAGAAAAAGTCCTCACAAATTCTACATGGTCATTTAAATGATACCACACTTGTGTCCTCTGAACTCAATCACATGAGCCATTCTGGATGATACAGGGAAAGGGTACAATAAGCATGCTCATTGTGGAAAAGCTGGCTAAAGGAAATGCTTCCTTAAAGATGAACTACCAGGTGTTTGTTGATATATACCTCACTCTTATAAACTACAACCTAACATAAAAAGTTCCTTTTCCTCAGTAACTAAGGTTATTGACAATATTTTTCCTGTTTTGGTTATCACAAAAAAAAAATAGGCTTAAAGCTTAATGGCGCTTAGGGAATATCTGATAGTGAAGTGTCTAGATAGATAGATTGATAGAAAGATACCAGAAGAAATTTTAGCTGAATGCTTACCAGAGGCATCATAATCTTATTTCCATTAGAATGAAAGAGAATTCCAGAAGATTCTTAAACTTTCTAGTAGACCAAATTTAAAAGTCTTTGGGTTAATACTGAGCTCTATGTATTGGCTTGGCATCTATGGAGATAATTGTTGTTCCAAAAAATGATGAAGCAGTGAAGTCTATTCTATTCACAGCACTGAATTGTCAAGCCATTAAGAATCACAAAGATCCCTGTTTAAAAAATTGTTATTAATAAATCATTAATATGACTAGCAGAGAGTATTTATAGGCTTCTTTTAGTCACAAGAAAGGATTCTGTATAAAAATAAGAAATAAAGAAAAATTTAGTAGCACCTATTTTAAAAAATCAAAATTTACTTTCTGTTGTAATTTCTTACACGGTATGTTTCCCAAGCTATTTCTAACTCTAATTGCTTTAGTCTGACTTAAAGCAAATAAACTTCTCACGAGTGTCAAATGAATGCCCCTTGTATCTAGATTATATGTAAGAGGTTGATTTTTGTATATTTGGCTACTTCTCTGCCATTCTTCATCACTTACCACAGAATGAACAAGCATTGAGTTAGCATCTCTTGATTGAGCATGCCTAAACTCATCTTGTCAATTTATAGGTTCAGTTGTGGTTTGTAGTAGGGAATTAAAGAGTAAACAGTATATCATTAAACTAATGCCAGTTTCAGGTAATAAAGAAGATGTTGCATTAATGATCTCTTATTTTTGCCAAATGTCATTTATTGGAAAAGTCATAAGTTAAAAGTACTTTTAATATAATTAGACCTAATCATGATGCCTTTAAAAACAATGAAAAGACAACCCAGAAAATAGGAGAAAATACTTGAAAATCATATACAGGGTTAAGTTCCGGAATATATAAAGAACTCTTACAACTCAACAACAAAAGACCCAAACAATCTAACTTAGTCAGCTCGGGCTCTTATAACAAAACTAGAGGCCCAGTGCACAGAATTCATGCATAGGGGTGTTGTCCTCAGCCCAGCATACACTCTCCAATCTGGGGCCCCTTGGAGGATGTCCAACTGCCTCTCACAATCCAGAACTGCTGGCTCCTAACCACTCGCCTGCTTGCCTGCCTGATAGCTCCCTAACCACTTCCTGCTGGCCTGATCGAAACCTAATTGCTCCCCTACTGGTCCAATCGCCCCCCCCCCAACTGCCCTCCCCTGCTGACCCGATCACCCCTAACTCCCTCCCCCTGCTGACCCGATCACCCCCAACTCCCTCCCCTGCCAGCTATCTTGTGGTGGCAATCTTGTGACGAAGTGAGGACAGCCATCTTAGGTGGCCCTCTTGTGACAATGTCAACCAAGGGCATGATGCCACCTAGGTTTTTATTATATAGGATAATATAGACCTAGTACTTAAACAGCAGGCATTTATTTTTCATTGTTCTAGAGGTTGGAAAGTCTAAAATCATTGGGTAGGCAGATTTAGTTCCTGGTGAGAACCCTCTTCCTGGCTTGCTGAGTCCTCCCATGGCTGAGAGAGGGTGCTCTGGTCTCTTCCTCTTTTTATATGGCCACTAATCCTACTTTCATGTTATCATTTAACTTTAGTTACCTCTCCAAGGTCCCTGTCTTTAAATACCATCACATTGGCCGAGACCTGTTTGGCTCAGTGGTAGAGCGTCAGTCTGCGGACTGAAAGGTCCCGGGTTCGATTCCGGTCAAGGGCATGTACCTTGGTTGAAGGCACATCCCCAGTAGGGGTTGTGCAAGAGGCAGCTGATCGATGATTCTCTCTCATCGATGTTTCTAACTCTCTATTCCTCTCTCTTCCTCTCTGTAAAAATTCAGTAAAATATATTTAAAAATAAAAATAAATAAATACCATCACATTGGGGGTTAGGGCTTCAATGTATGGAATTGGGGGGACACAAACATTCAGCCCATAACACTCTACCCCTGCTACTCCCCCAGTATATGTCCTTCTCACATACAAACTACAATATATTGATTTCATCCCAACAGTCCTAAAAGTCTTAACTCATTCTAGTATCACTCTATATCTCAAAGTCCGAAGTCTCATCAGATATGGGTGAGACTTGAGGAAGAATCCTTTTCCATATATGAACCTGTGAAACCAGGTAAATTATGTACTTCAAAATACAATGGTAGGACAGTCATAGAATACACATTACCATTCCCAAAGGGAAAAATAGGTAAAAAGAAGAGGTAACAGGACCCAAGTAAGTCCAAAATTTAGAGAGGCAAATCTCATTAGATCTTAAGGCTCAAGAATTATCCTCTTTGGTTTGGTACTTTGCCTTCTGGCCCAACAGGGCAGTGATTTTTTTTTTTTTTTCAGGAATTACTGAGGTGGTGGTATCATCCCCATGGGACAACCCTGCACCTTTGGCTCCCTTGAAGTGCTACCCATGCTATGTTCTATAATAGCTGACCTACATGACATTCTTCTGGGTGGTGGTACTGCCCTTTGAACCAAGATAGAGGCAACCTTGTCCCTTAGACTCTAGTCCTGTGGTGAGAGCAGCAGCCCTAACGATCTCTGAAATTGCCTTTGGGGTCCTTCTTCCTTTTTCTTGAAGAGTAATGATGTTCATACTTCCTTCATTTTGAATCATTTTCTTTTCTTTTCTTTTTTTTTTTTTTTAGCCTCAGGTGGCACTATTTCTGCTGATAATCCCAATCCTGGCTTCTGTTTAGATGACCAATTGATTTACAAATTAATCGCCTTACAAAATAGTTGGCCACCATAACTTCATATTCAATTAGGAACATGTTCTATTGTTTTGCAATATGGACAAGCTGAAAATTTTTCGAATCCTTAATTTCTTTTTTGCTTCACAATTCCTTCTTCAATTCATTTCTCTCTTCTTGCATTTTACTATAAGAAGGAAGAAGGAACTAGGCTGCTCCTTCAATACTTTGCTTAGAAATTTCCTGAACTGAATATCCAGTTTCATCTCTTACAAACTATATTTTCAAAAAAATATTAGAACACAAACACCATTCAGCTAAGTCCTTTGCTGCTTTATAACAAGGGGTGCCTTTCCTCCATACCATATTCCTCATTTCTGTATGAGACCTCATAAGAATGACTTTCACTGCTCACATTTCTGCCAACATTCTATTCATAATTATTATGTACTCTAAGAACTAGGAGAGCTTTTTCTCCAGCTCTCCTCTTTTCTTTCTGAGTTCTCACCAGAATTGCCTTTAACACTCCCTTCATAGCAATCTTAGCTTTTTCTAGCACACATTTCAAAACTTTTCCAGCCTCTACCCCATTATCCACTTCCAAAGCCCCTTCCACATTCTTAGGTATTCATTATAGTAGAACCCTACTTCTTAGTACCAAAATCTATATTAGTCAGGGAATCCCAGAGAAACAGAATCAATAGGAAATATATAGATATATTTGTTTTAAGGAATTGAGTCACACATTATGGAAGCTGAGAAGTCTCAAGGTTTGCCGGTTGGAGACCCAGGAGA